ATAATATAAAGAAAGAGGTGCCCGGTTTTAATTGGAAAATTTGCTTCGAATTTGTCGCGAATTTAAAAATAATTGCACGTGTATTATAATTATAATTTGGCAACAGATTTTTGTTAAAGGGGAATTATAATTTCCATTTTTATGCGGGAACATTTAAAATTGGTTTAAAAATATGCTCCTTTTCTGTGATGGAAATATTTAAATGTGTAAAAAAAGTGAAACTGACTTAATAGAATTTAATTAGCACTAATGAAAATGATATATATTATAAATATCTGAATAATATCTTATCTTATATCTGTTGTATATATATGTATATATATATATACAAGATAACCACGGCTTAATACCGAGTTAATTACATTAGAAATCAGAAGCTGAATCTGACTAACTAACTGAATCCACTATTGAACTTGTACGGTAAACTTGCTTTACAAATAACCGCAGTATGAATGTCGAATTCATCGTCAAGTTATTAACTTACGAGCATCTATTAACTTGCCTAAATAAATGAAATCACGAGATATAAAAAAAAAAATTGCTGCACACGTAAACATTTTCTATTCCCTTTGAAACGAATCTTTGTATCGTTGTTTGAATATTGATTTTGTCCGATATTTGCATAACCCGTAGTTTAAATCGTGGAAAACAATAGATGAATTGTATTTGAAATCTTTCCATTTTCCATCGCGAAATATTACTACGAAGTAATACCTTTAAGTTGAATAACAAGAAGAAATAAATCTTATATTTTAATAGATTCCATTGAATAATTTTCATTTTTTTTTTTTAATAGAAAGATTAAAAAAAATATTCGTTTTAATATATGTATGTTCAGATTTGCTGAATTTTCATCTACATAATTCTCTCAATAATTATTTTAAACATATTCTTAATTCATACGTGATCATCGATCTTTCTTCATCATTTTCATTTCCTGCGATTTTTCAATCATATTTCAGACGAACACTTATAAAATTCTTTCGAACGTCCTCTTTTATCATTTCATCTCATGCGAATCAATAATTATACAGAATGAAGCCATTACTTTTGACAGAGATTACAGACAAGAGACTGCTCCATTACTTTTACTTTATAGCTTGGAAGAATAATGACCCCTAATCCGATTTTTGTTGCTGGGGGGATATATCAAGAGTTGGAGCAAAGTATGGAAGTAGTGCGATTACATAAAAAAAAAAAAAAAAAAAAAAAAA